GAGGACAGATTAAGAACACAATAGAGGCCAGGAAGTGGTAGCGCATGCCTTTATCCCAGCACTTGGAAGGCAGAGGCGGGCATATCTTCATGCCAGCCTGGTCTACAAAGTGAGCTCTAGGGCATCAAGGGCTACATAGGGAAACACTGTCTGGAAAAAAACCCACAACAGAGACCAACATCAAAACCCCAAATTAGGGGAAAACCAGGAACCCTCATACACCTTGCCACCTTGGTCTTAAATTCTGAACAAACCTTCTAATACTAATCTCTAGTCATGTCCATCGCGTGGACAGAATGAGGAGTTCCAGCCACAGCACCTCACAAATCTATGGGATAAGACCCCCTTTCACATCAGGGTGGGCAAACTTTCCATCCTTGCCTGGGCTCCAGAAAGCACCAGAGCTCTGGAAGGAGGTCCCCCACCCCAACCCCAGTGAACCCCTGCAGAGGAAGTGTAGAAGCAAGTGCCTTGGAGAGCTAACACAGACCATGCAAGTTTAACAAGAAGGGAGGCAAACTCACTGCAGAGTCTTGACCGCTCAGCTGTGCAAACAAATAAGATCCATTTCTTCTGGAGCTTCTCCTAGCTGTCTTTGGCCACAAGCATGCACATGTATGTGAGTGCGTATGCACACACAGAAACCACTTCACAGCTCCAAAGGAAAACACCCGTGAAAGGTCTACACAGTTTGTTTTTATTGGGTGTAGTGCTTTTTCCCCTAAATCACATCTGACTCTGTGTTAAAACATCAACCTTTGGCCAAAATACTCTTAAAACAAAGCTTAATTGGTTTTCAAGTAGCCCTTCAGAGAACCCAGCGAAAGGTCTTGTGTGGGTCTGCCTCCGCCTTGATTACAGAACTTCTCTTGGAGGCTGCAATAATGACCCGAGTAGGAATTTTGGAAGAGGTCCCTCTGGGGAAGCTACAGAGATGCCTAACTGTGAGCACAACCACCTGCAGGCCGTCCCCAGGGGGCAACTCTGGTTTTGCACATCTGCAATTAAGGTTCATCCTTGTGAGAAAGTCGAGTCCTCATCACCATTTAACAGAGATGGTGGAGGAATTTGACCTCAGAGCTAGGACCAGAGGCCAACCTCCTGCTTTCGGGAGCAAGCCAGAAGAGCATGTACAGGCACGCTGTGATCATACACACATCATTTTATCACTGCCCCCTTCCAATATGCCATTCACTCCCCTCACGACTAACGGCCGTATATTGCAAAGATGTCACTCAACGTCCCCTGGGCAGGCTTCTACCTACAAAACATTGATGCAAAGCTGCATATACACCTCTCAACACCACCTCTAGGCACATTTGCCAGTGTGGGACAGTATGTTCAGACACCGCCATTCTTTCA